GAAAACTTTAATGGAGATTCAGTCCTGCCTGAAATACCAGAGGGATGGATAGCTTAGTGGGTTGAGCGTTGGCCTGCTAAACCCAGGGTTTTGAGTTCAATCCCTGAGGGGGCCATTCTGTGTGACAGTTGTTTTTGTTTCTTGATGTAAAGCCACCCCCTTTGTTGATTTTAATTCCCTGTAAGCCAACCCTGTAAGCCATGTCGCCAGTTGCCCCTCCCTCCATCAGAGCAACGGCAGACAATCGTTCCGCGCCTTTTTTCTGTGCAGACGCCATACCATGGCAAGCATGGAGCCTGCTCAGATCACTTTGGCAATTAGGAGCACATTAAACACCACATGCATTATCCAGCAGTATATGCAGCACCAGAACCTGGCAAAGCGAAACCGGGCAAGTAGGCGACGTCAGTGCGGTGAAGAGAGCGATGAGGACATGGACACAGACTTCTCTCAAAGCACCGGCCCTGGCAATGTGGGCATCATGGTGCTAATGGGGCAGGTTCATGTGGTGGAATGCCGATTCTGGGCCTGGGAAACAACTGGTGGGACCACATAGTGTTGCCAGTCTGGGACGATTCCCAGTGGCTGCAAAACTTTCGCATGCGTAAGCGCACTTTCATGGAACTTTTTGACTTGCTTTCCCCTGCCCTGAAGTGCATGAATACCAAGATGAGAGCAGCCCTCACAGTTGAGAAGCGAGTGGCAATAGCCCTGTGCAAGCTTGCAATGCCAGACAGCTACCGGTCAGTCGGGAATCAATTTGGAGTGGGCAAATCTACTGTGGGGGCTGCTGTGATGCAAGTAGCCAATGCAATCAAAGGTCTGCTGATATCAAGGGTAGTGACCCTGGGAAATGTGCAGGTCATAGTGGATGGCTTTGCTGCAATGGGATTCCCTAACTGTGGTGAGGCAATAGACGGAACCCATATCCCTATCTTGGCACCAGAGCACCAAGCCGGTGAGTACATAAACCGCAAGAGGTACCTTTCAATAGTGCTGCAAGCACTGTTGGATCACAAGGGACATTTCACCAACATCAACGTGGAATGGCCGGGAAAGGTACATGACGCTCACATCTTCAGGAACTCTGGTCTGTTTCAAAAGCTGCAGGAAGGGACTTTATTCCCAGACCAGAAAATAACCTCTGGGGATGTTGAAATGCCTATAGTTATCCTTGGGGACCCAGCCTACCCCTTAATGCCATAGCTCATGAAGCTGTACACAGGCAGCCTGGACAGTCATCAGAAGCTGTTCAGCTACAGGCTGAGCAAGGGCAGAATGGTGGTAGAATGTGCATTTGGATGTTTAAAAGCGTGCTGGTGCAGTTTACTGACTCGGTTAGACCTCAGCGAAACCAATATTCCCACTGTTATTACTGCTTGCTGTGTGCTCCACAATATCTGTGAGAATAAGGGGGAGACGTTCATGGCGGGGTGGGAGGTTGAGGCAAATGGTTTGGCTGCTGGTTATGCGCAGCCAGACACCAGGCCGGTTAGAAGAACACAGGAGGGTGCGGTGCGCATCAGAGAAGCTTTGAAAACCAGTTTCATGACTGGCCGGGCTACGGTGTGAAAGTTCTGTTTGTTTCTCCTTGATGAAACCCCCCGCCCCTTGGTTCACTCTACTTCCCTGTAAGCTAACCACCCTCCCCTCCTCCCTTCGATCACTGCTTGCAGAGGCAATAAAGTCATTGTTGCTTCACATTCATGCATTCTTTATTAATTCATCACACAAATAGAGGGATAACTGCCAAGGTAGCCCGGGAGGGGTGGTGGAGGAGAGAAGCTCTGGGAGGGGTGGTGGAGGAGGGAAGGACAAGGCTACACAGCACTTTAAAAGTTTAAAACTTTAAAACTTATTGAATGCCAGCCTTCTGTTCCTTGGGCAATCCTCTGGGGTGGAGTGGCTGGGTGGCCAGAGGCCCCCCCACCGCGTTCTTGGGCGTCTGGGTGAGGAGGCTATGGAACTTCGGGAGGAGGGTGGTTGGTTACACAGGGGCTGTAGCGGCGGTCTGTGCTCCAGCTGCCTTTCCTGCAGCTCAACCATATGCTGGAGCATATTAGTTTGACCCTCCAGCAGCCTCAGCATTGAATCCTGCCTCCTCTCAACACGTTGCCGCCACCTTTCAGCTTCAGCCCTCTCTTCAGCCCGCCACTTACTCTCCTCAGCCCACCACCTCACCTCCAGGTCATTTTGTTCTTTCCTACACTCTGACATTGTCTGCCTCCACGCATTCGTCTGTACTCTGTCAGTGTGGGAGGACAGCATGAGCTCAGAGAACATTTCATCACGAGTGCATTTTTTTTGCCTTCTAATCTTCACTAGCCTCTGGGAAGGAGAAGATCCTGTGATCCTTGAAACACATGCAGCTGGTGGAGAAAAAAAAGGGACAGTGGTATTTAAAAAGATACATTTTATAGAACAATGGGTACACTCTTTCAGGGTAAACCTTGCTGTTAACATTACATACTTAGCACATGTGCTTTTGTTCCCAGGTTGCATTTTGCCTCCCCCCACCACGTGGCTAGCAGCTCCCCCTCCCCGTGGCTAACAGCGGGGAACATTTCTGTTCAGCCATAGGCAAACAGCCCAGTAGGAATGGGCACCTCTGAATATCCCCTTAAGAAAAGCACCCTATTTCAACCAAGTGACCATGAATGATGTCACTCTCCTGAGGATAACACAGAGAGATAAAGAACGGATGTTGTTTGAATGCCAGCAAACATGTACAACAAAGCATTGCAGTGTAATGATTCCCGAGTACGTGCTACTGGCTGGAGTGGTAAAGTGTCCTACCATGGTGGACGGAATAAGGCTTCCCTCCCCAGAAACCTTTCGCAAAGGCTTTGGGAGTACATCCAGGAAAGCTGCAAATGCCAGGGCAAACTAATCATTAAACATGCTTGTTTTTAAACCATGTATACTATTTTAAAAGGTACATTCACCAGAGATCCCTTCTCCGCCTGGTAGGTCCGAGAGGCAGCCTTGGGTGGGTTGTGGGGATACTGGCTCCAGGTCCAGGGTGAGAAACAGTTCCTGGCTCTCGGGAAAACTGGTTGCTTGCTTGCTGTGAGTTGTCTACAACTTCATCATCATCTTCCTCGTCCCCAAAACCTGCTTCCGTGTTGCCTGCATCTCCATTGAAGGAGTCAAACAATACGGTGGGGTAGTGGTGGCTGAACCCTCTAAAATGGCATGCAGCTCATCATAGAAGCGGCATGTTTGGGGCTCTGACCCGGAGTGGCTGTTTGCCTCTCTGGTTTTCTGGTAGGCTTGCCTCAGCTCCTTAAGTTTCACGCGGCACTACTTCGGGTCTGTCAAGGTTCCTTCCCCACTCTGAACTCTAGGGTATAGATGTGGGGACCTGCCTGAAAAACCGCCTAAGCTTATTTTTACCAGCTTAGGTTAAAACTTCCCCAACGTACAAACTATTTTACCTTTTGCCCTTGGACTTTATTGCTGCCCCCACTAAGTGCCTAACATGGAAAGAGCCCACTTGGAAACGTCTTTCCCCCCCCCCTCAAAAAAAAATCCTCCCAAACCCTACACCCCCTTTCCTGGGGAAGGCTTGATAAAAATCCTCACCAATTTGCATATGTGAACACAGACCCAACCCCTTGGATCTTAAGAACAATGAAAAAGCAATCAGGTTCTTAAAAGAAGAATTTTAATTGAAGTAAAAGAATCAACTCTGTAAAATCAGGATGGTAAATACCTTACAGGATAATCAGATTCAAAACATAGAGAATCCCTCTAGCCAAAACCTTAAGTTACAAAAAGACACAAAAACAGGAATATACATTCCATTCAGCACAACTTATTTTATCAGCCATTTAAACAAAACAGAATCTAACGCACATCTAACTAGATTGCTTATTAGCCCTTTACAGGAGTTCTAACCTGCATTCCTGCTCTGGTCCGGGAAAAAACAACGCACAGACCGAGAGAACCCTTTGTCCCTGTCCCCCGCCCCCCCAGCTTTGAAAGTATCTTGTCTCCTCATTGGTTATTTTGGTTAGGTGCCAGCGAGGTTATCTTTAGCTTCTTAACCCTCTACAGGTGAAAGGGTTTTTTCCTTTGGCCAGGAGGGATATAAAGGTGGTTAGCCTTCCCTTTATATTTATGACAGGGTCCCTTTTATGGCCTCTGTCCTTCATGCCCTGGGAGATTTTGACAAATGTTTTGGCATTTCAAAAACTGGAACGGAGTTCTGATAGCACGGATTCCTCTCCCCATACAGCGATCAGATCCTGTACCTCCCGTTTGGTCCATGCTGGAGCTCTTTTGCGATTCTGGGACTCCATCATAGTCATCTCTGCTGATGAGCTCTGCACTCACCTGCAGCTTGCCACCGCTGGCCAAACAGGAAATTGAAATTAAAAAGTTTGTGGGCCTTTTCCTGTCTACCTGGCCAGTGCATCTGAGTTGAGAGTGCTGTCCAGAGCAGTCACAATGGAGCACTCTGGGATAGCTCCTGGAGGCCAGTACTGTCTAATTGCATCCACAGTACCCCAAATTCGACCCAGCAAGACCGATTTCAGCGCTAATCCCCTTGTCGGGGGTGGAGTAAGGAAACTGATTTTAAGAGCCCTTTAAGTCGAAAAAAAGGGCTTTGTCGTGTGGATGGGTGCAGGGTTAAATCGATTTAACGCTGCTAAATTCGACCTCAACTCCTAGTGTAGACCAGGGCTGAGAGGCGCAGGGCTCAGGTCGATGTAGTTAGGGCGAGGTGGTCCTCAGCGTAGGCACGGCATTGCTTACACCAACTGTTGCTGCCTTTCAGAAGCCGTCCCATAACGTACCCTAAAATGCGTGCCAGCGCTCCTGGCGAGGACGGACATCGCCGACACCAGGAGCCTAGTCTGGACGTGTAAAAGCGATTCAATTACTGCGGAGGCTGGACGTCGAGTTAATTCTGTAGCGACTTGCCCCAAGTTCCTGTGTGAATCTCGCCCAGGGTCTTTCTCCTGCGGCTGGTGTTTGCTAGGCTGGAGCTAGGAGCGACCCCTCGCCCGTTCTCTCCTGCGGAGCGTCGTCTGTCCCCGTTGCCAGCCCTAGCTCAGGGCTATCCCGGAGGCAGGGAGCTCAGCCCCGGCAGGCTCCCGGGCGGCAGGGCGAGGCGGAGCGAGCGAGCGGCGGAAGGCGGAGTTCCTGGCGCCATTAGCGGCCCCGAGGCTCTCGCAGCTGGGAGGGGAGGATTAGTGGCCGGGGGCGGAGCTCTGGAGGCCGTCGCTGCGCTGCAGAGCTCGCTCAAAGGCGGGAGCGCTTGGTCCGCTTTGCGAGGGGGGGCAGAGAGCTTCCTCCAGCGCGGAGCCATGGGGAAAGTGTTGGTGCTCGCCCTGGCCGGGATACTTGCAGCCCTCCTCGGGGAGAGGCTAATGGAGTTGCGGTAAGTGGCTCCAGCCCCACCTCAGGGAGCTGGCCCGAGCCGGGGCACCTTCGTCAGCTTTGTCCCATGGAGAGACTGGCGAGCTCTTAGGAGGCACGGGGACGTCCTGGGTCTGTGCGTCTAGCTCGTGCTTTCCTGCCCTAATGGGGGCAGGCGGAGGGGTGTTTCAACAACACAGCGTTCACGGCTTGAAATAGAACGGCCACGGGTGGGGAATCGAATTAGAAGTCACTCCGGTTTAGTGGGAGCTCTTTGGTCCCTCACGTTCTGACGAGCGCACCCCTTATTGCCCAGGGTTCTTTCCCCTTCTGCACGGGGAATGCAGAGCAGAAGTGCCATGAAGAGAAGGCTCGATTGTACATTCCTCCCGTGCCCTCATCGGCTGGCAAAGCTTGCCCGCGGGGTTCAGGCTGAGTGCAAAGCTGGCAGGAGCAAAGCGGCTCAGGACGGAAGAGCCTGGCTTTGTAGATCCTGGATCGCTGAGCAACTGAGATTACATAGCTGTTTAAAAAAGTGGTTGTCTGTCTTCCCAGGGGATTGCAGTTCATCTCGTTGTTTAGCATGGCATGCAGCTTTAGCAAAAGCCTGCACGTACAGAAATGCCACTGAATTTGTCAGAGGAAGAGAGGGGTTAATGAAAACTACCCTATTATCCAGCGGATGTAATCGGAGCGCTTGCTTTGTTTGCTCTTGTATTGGTCGTTCTAAGTCAGGCTTGAAACTAAACTTCAGAAATATTCGCCTCAGATAAATCAGATTTACAGTAGGGTGATGTCGTAGCTGGGTATGTCAAATCCTTTGCTAACTCGAGCTAACAGGGTCTGTGAAGTATGAACTTTAGCTTTGTTTACCTGTCTGTTCCTCTTCCAACAGAGATAACGACTGGGGGTATGTTGACACAGCTTCACACAATTTCACCAATCACTCATTTAAAAAAAACCCTGTTTTGTTAAATAACTTCAATTGCAAAAATAAATAACTTTATTTTTTTTTAAGCCAGAATTTGTGAATAAACAGCCACTAGCAAACCAGTTTGTGTACTAGGTGGAACTGGAACCAGTATACTTTCAGTAAGGGAACAGTCAGTTTCAACTTTCAGAGGAGTTGTTTTGAATAGTGAGATGAATACTAAAGGGAATCAAACCCTATTAAACCCTAGAAGTAGAGAGTACATATAGAAAGGCTAGTCAATACAATATTACAGAAGTAGCTTCTCTAGAAACATAACCATGTAACTTTAAAAGCGGCAAAGAGTCCTGTGCTCCAATACGTCTATTAGTCTGTAAGGTGCCACAGATCCAGACTAACATGGCTACCCCTCTGATACTTGATAGCATGTAACTTTAGACTAGAAAAGTGAATGTGGAATTACTTTGTTAGGCGACAGTGGAGTCATTATGCTGATAATAATGAGTGATGTAAAAATATTTTCAAGACATCAAAGTAACAACATCGAAATGATTTAAATTTTAGATCTAACATGGCTAATTACAAAAAAACTTTTTACTACTTACTTTTGTACAGGGTAGAGTGCAATACAAGTGTATTAAGAGAAGTATTATGTTTTGAACTAAATTCAGCTTAGCACTGATCCTACCACTAGTCTGAACACTAATTGGGAAGTTTATTGGCAACAAGAAACTGATACTGTTATGTCTCACAATATAGGGATCTTGATAAAGTTCTAGCATTCTCAGTTTATTTTTTGGGTGAGCTGTTTCAGAGCATAGTAAGTAGCAGGCCCCTGTCAAAAGCTGAATAAACAGGATTGAAATAATATTGAAAACTGGTAAAATAAAATTATATGCTAGAAATAGATCAAACTAAAAGCACTTTGTGAATATTCTATTTAATTTTTATTGTATTTTTATTACTTTTTTTCTGGTGTGTGGATGTGCTGCTTTATAAGCCTGCTACATTGCAACCTTGCTAATACATCAGTACTAGTATCTGGAAATGTACAACTTCAGATAAGAGTTGAGATTAGTGTCTAGTTTCCTCTAATATGTACTGGAAGGAGGAGATTGGAAAGTGAGATTTTTTTTTCTTCTTGATATCTCTCCACACCTGTCCCCCACTCCAAAAGAAAATGAAAATTAAGAAGTTCTCTATAGCTTTGCTGCTGTTCACATTAATCCCTTGAGTTCTGGCACATTCTGGTCTGGTTATATGATACTGAAAAGGGTCCTGTCAATGTCTGTCTTTTTTTCAAACACATTTAACAGAATTTCTAATATTCCTGGAGGTGAAAAGTGATTAATTTTTTACTAAATTGGTTTATGTATCATATTGTATTGCTAATATCTACAGCAATGGAAGCAGCTTATTCACATCCTATCTCTGCTGTGGGGTCTGAACATAGTAAGAGTTCACAGTATTCATAGACTTTTGCCTCCACTTCTTAAAAGAACAATTCTTGATGTAGCTGAACTGCTATATTTTCAGATATGTGATTGTTAAAGGCATTGACACTCTTCTTCTTTTCCTCTTGTTCTTATTATGCTTTAGTTTTAAAGATTCATAATAATAAGGTCCTGATCCAATGTCCACTGAAAATAATGATAAAGCTTCCATTGACTTCAGGACAAAGTTAGCATCTGCCAGAAGACTTGATGCAGAGAGTGTACTTTGAAAGCTTCTATAGCATTGAAAATGTGTTGTAGTTTTTAAACCATTTTTGTATTCCTCAGATGTAGAAGAAATAGATCTCAAGCAAGAAACTCTTTAAAACCAGTAGAAATGCTGTGATTGTCACACGAGGACGTTCAATGTTGCACTTTTTGTGTTGATAGTGGTGGGGTAGGGGTTGGCTGGGAGTGTGTCCTAAGTTGTGGTTTTTTGAGAAGTTTCCAAATGAATTTCCTAAAGAGATGAGGATCAGTTTCTCAGTTATAAATTTTGAGACATTAGTAGAAATGATAATATCCTTGAAGCCCAGGTTGCAAATTTCATGTGTCAACACTAAAGTTTTGCCAGCATTGATTCTAGTATACAACTGTTGACATTAGTGTCGCTAGAACATGTGAAAGCGTCGCTGCCTTTGCTGATGCCATGCATCCTCCCTGTGAGAGGTTGCATCAGCAAAACCCACAGAGCAGGAAGCATAGGCATCCACCACACCAGTGTTTGTCTCATTTTCTTGCAGGATGTTTTTGCAGTGCATTGTGGGTTACCAGCATTCTCAGGGAATTATGGCAACTTGGGGCCAAGTTTCCAAAGTCTTTGTTCCATCTCACAATCTTTTTTCACACTGTTATTAAAATACCCTCTGGTCTTCCCATTGCTTTTCAATTTTCCTGCTATGTCACTGGGAGAAGCATAGATGCTGAAGAGATTAGAGGAATTTTCATTGTTTTAGAGACTGAGTGAGTAATTCTTCTGTATTCTGAACTTCAGCTACCACCACTAGTAGTCCTACAGCAGAAAAAATGAGAATGACAGTCCCCAGTTGCTTCAGGCATTCACTGACCAGTTACACACAGTGGAGAAATGCATCCGTACCTGTGAAATGAGAACCAAGTGGTGGGATTGGATAATGATGCAAATCTGGATGATCAGCAGTGGCCAGAGCACTTTTTGGACGTGGAAGGCCATGCTCCTGGAGGTGTGTGCCATCCTTGCCCCAGTCCTCCAGCTCAGGGATACAGAATGGGAGCTGCATTGACAGTGGAGACACGAGTGGTGATTGTGCTCTGGAGGCTTGCAACTCTGGGCTGCTATTAGTCAGTAATCAATCACCTTGGTGTTGGAAAATCTATGGTGAGGGGAAGTCAGTTATCCAGATGTGAAAATCCATTAAGTATATCCTGCTGCACAGGATTGTGACTCTGGGCAATGTGCAGGAAATAATAGAGGAATCTGATGGAATGGGCTTCCCAAACAGGGGAGAGGGGGCAATATGTGGGACACACTTCCTGATTCTGCGCCTCCCACCAGCTTGCTTCTGAGTACATAAATAGAAAGGGGAACTTTTCTATGTTTATGCAAGCATTGGTGGATCACAGGTGGACATTTCATTGGTGGATTCCTGTCCTTCCTGCTCTGTGGGTTTTGCTGATGCAGTCTCTCACAGTGAAGATGCATGGCATCAGCAAAGGCAGCGACGCTTTCACATGTTCTAGCTCAGGGGTGGGCAAACTTTTTGTCCCAAGAGCCATATCTGTGTGGGGAAATTGCATGTAGGGCCATGAATGTAGGGCTAGGGCAGGAGGCTGAGGTGCGGGAAGGAATATGCAGTGTGGGAGTGGGTGCGGCGTGCAGGAAGGGGCTCAGGGCAAGGGGTTGGGGTAGAGGAGAGGTGCGGGATGTATGAGGGGGCTCAGGGAAGGGGGTTGAGGTACAGGAGGGGGTGCACAGTGCGGGAAGGAGCTCAGGGCTGTGGTGCAGGGAGGGGTATGAGGTGCAGCGGGGGCTCAGGGCAGGGGATTGGGGTGCAGGAAGTATGTGGGGTGCTGCAGGGGGTTGGGGTGCAGGCAGGGGGCTCAGGGCAGGGAGTTGGGGTGCAGGAGGGGTTTAGGATCCAGCCTGGCGCAGCTTACCTGGAGTGGCTTCGGGATGACAGCGGTGCGCACGGGGCCAAGGCAGGCTCCCGGCCCCGCACTGCTCTGGAAATTGGCTGGCACCTGCGGAATGGGGAACTTCAGCCAATGGGAGCTTTGGGGGAGGTACCCACAGGCAAGGGCAGCGTGCAGAGCCCTCTGTCCCCTCTCCCCAGGGGCCGCAGGGATGTGGTACCTGCCGCTTCTCAGAGCAGTGCGGGGCCCATGGTGCCACAGGAGTGGCAATCCCACAGGCTGGATCCAAAGCCCTGAGGGGCCAGTTCCGGCCCTCGGGCTGTAGTTTGCCCACCCCGGTTCTAGCAACACTAATGTCAACAGCTGTATATTAGAAAAAATGCTGGCAAAACTTTAGTGTTGACCTAGCCTAGCAGATGATGATTGCCACCTGGGCTTCAAGGATATTATCAATTCAATTAGCATCAACGTTGGCTGATCAGAGAA